GCGGCTTAAGGCCGATCCTGTCCACACCCCATGTCCAGTGCGAGAAGCTGCCCGGGGGGGCGGGCCGCAGAACTGAGCCCCCAGCAGAGCCAGAGCCAGAGCCAGAGCCAGAGGTTTCCCTCCTCCTCCTCCCCTCTCCCCCGCTCTCCTCTGACACCCACAAGACTCACCCGAGGGTGCAGGCCCTCTGGGCAGGACGTCTCCCTGGCTCGGAGCCAAGGGTTCCGAGCTTCCTGGCACTTTGGGGTCTCTGGCCTGGAGGTCGCCAGTGCTGCATTCTCCACGATGCATGCACAAACAAGATGGCCCTGGCCTCTGTTTTGGAAGCTAAAAGAAAAATTTCTCACCCATCTGGACTTGGGTGTGTGTGTGTGTGTGTGTGTGTGTGTGTGTATGTGTGTATAAGAGCTGAGGTGAGGCGGGGAATGGGCAAGGGAACTCAGAGGCCGATCTGGCTGGTACCTTCTCCCTCAATCAGCCCCAGGCCAGGAGGCAGGGCTGAGCCAGGGAGACGAGTAGGCCACTGACAAAGCCCAGGCAGCTAAAGCCTGAAGGGTCGTGGTCCAAACTTTGAAGGGGTTCCTGGCTTCCAATCAGCTACCAGTCCTCCCTTCATCCAGACGCCTCTCTGGGGGAAGGAGGCAGGAAACGTGCCAAGGGTTCAGAACGGTGCCGGGCTCACACGCAGTGCTACCCCCAGGTTAATACCTGCCCCTGTGAAAACGACCCTCGAGCCCGTCTGCCATCCCAGTGATCCCAATGACCCAGGGCCACCCACGGCAACCCCTGAAGTAGGGGCAGAGGCAGCATGGGTAAAGAACTGGGCAGAGCCGGAGGGGCAGGGGGAGAGGAAGGGCACCCAGAGAGAAGGAGCATGGCCTACTCACCTGGCCCTTTGGGAATGCGTCTCTGTTTGAGTCAGTGCCTTCTCCTGCCGACGCCACCACCTCCGCCTCCCGTGTCCTCCTGGCCACCGATTTCTTCCCGGCCCCCGTGTGCTTGGGCTGTTTGATTCCCCAAGGGCCCACGGGATGCTTCTTGGACTTGCCAAGCAGCGAGACACCAGAGATTGGGGGGAAGGTGGCCGGTTCCAGGGGAGCTGCCGAGACTCTCTGCCCCCAGGAAGGAAAGCTTTTCCCCGAGGCGACTCTTGAGGGGCCCCCTAGGGATTTCTTCTCCTGGGTCACCTTCCTCCTAGAGGTGGCCCGGGGCAAGCCGCCTGCAGCGGCAGCAGCAGCAGCAGCAGTAGCAGCAACAGCGGTAGCTCCCCGGTAGGTGGGCCTGCTCTCCCCCTTCCCCCAGACCACACTCTGCATTTTCTTGGAGGAGGGCATGTCCAGCTCTCCGATGGCCTGCCTCTCCACAACCGAAGTGAATCCTCGGGGAGCCGAGGTCAGGAAAGGGCCCGGCACGTGCAGGAAATTCTCCCTGACGCGGAAATTCGAGTGTCTGGGTGTGTCCCCGGGATCCTCGGGGCTGCCGGGCTTGGCCTGGCCTCCTTCTTTGGAGTAAATGCTCACCCTCATCAGCTGTATCTCCCCGAACTCATCGGAGGACTCGGGGTCGGAAGGCAGCGGGGCGCCCAGGCCTTCGGCTTCGGCGGCGGCGGCGGCGGCGGCGGCGGCGGGGGGCCGCTGGCGATCCGTCCTGGCATTCGCCCTGCTCTTAGCGCCTCTTCTCGGGTTCCCCCAGGCCCGGCCGCTCTCGGGCCCAGCCACGCGCGGCCCGGCGGCGGAAGGCGGCTGCGACTCCACGCGGCCCAGGCCGAGCGCGCCTCGCCCACTGGGCCCCGCGTCGAGGCCCGCCCAACCGCCCGACGCTTCGGCGGCGCAGCTCTCGGGGGACGGGTTTCTCCGCAGGCCCAGGGCGTCGCGGTCTGTCAGCTGCTGCACGATGTCCGCCGCGGACTCGTCAGCCAGGTGGGCCGCGTAGTCCGGGGCGTCCCCCTTGTCGTCGGCCGGGGAGCCGGGGCGGCCTTCGCGGCCCCACAGCACTGGCCCTCCCGCTTCCAGCACTTCCCGCTCGGACTCGAAGCCCTCGGCGTCTGCGAACCCGCCCTCGCCCTCGCCGCTCCGTGGCGGGCCCACATCCAGACCTAGTCCCGGGGCTCGCGGGGCCCGCGGGGCCCCGGGGCCGGAGGGGCGGACGCCGGCCTGCTCCCCGCCCTCGGGGCCGAAACCCGCTCCCCAGACAGACCCCTCATCCGGAGTGCTCATGCCGGTGACGCCGCGCAGCCGGGCTTTGAGGGAGACGACCGCCCTGGTCCCGGCGCGACGGGTGAGAGGCGAGGGCGCCTGAGCGGCGGCGGGAGTCGCTCGGCGTCCGGACGACGCGGGCCCTCACCACAGGCTCCACGCCACGCGGTGTGGCGTTGAACCGCTCGAGATCGCCTCAAACGACGCGTGGCTTGCGCGCGCCTCCGACGGGACTGCGGCGGCTTCCTCATTGGTCGGCCCCCCACCAACCAGCGCGCCCCTTGTTGGCCCGCCCCTCGAGGCCCTAACCAATGGGGTCGAGCGCCTTTGGTCCTCTTGTGAACTGGTTCAGGTCTCTGTGTCTGTTAGTTCGGACGGTTGACTCAAATGTTTTGGTCCTACCTCCTGGCTTGTATCCTGCTTTACGTTCGAGTCATGGCTCTGAACTTCTGTCTCCCCCTTTCTTCAGAGCAGATTGACAGGCACCTGCCTCCAGTGTTGTGGGGACCTAGGGTCGGAACAGATGTGAGGCACATAGTACACAGAGCATTTCCTGGCCACTGTTCCACAGTCCCACTTAGGACCTGATGGGAACTGGGCACGGGAAGCCACAGGCAATGGTAAGAGGGTAGGTGGCATATGTTCCCCAGAAAGTCCCAGAGAGCAAATGTAGTTTCCTTACCCAGGAAAATTTGGAGTATTCCCAGTTATTCCCATCACCAACATCTGCATGGGTACACCTACCCACACACACACACATATCCCCCCTGCAGGGGGCTCATTTCTGCGCCCCGCCTCCCCGGGCAGCTTCTCGCACAGGACATGGGGTGTGGACAGGATCGGCCTTAAGCCGCGTTCTCCCCCAGGTGGGGTTTGTGCAGCAGGGGTGATGCGTGGCAGTGCCCCAAACTGCGGCCCCGGACACAGCCTTTCAGCAGCACGGAGCCTTTCTTCTGATGAGTCCTGTATGGGCGTGTTGCTCCTGCCAGGGGCTGGCTGTGGCTGCCGCTCTGGGAGAGTCCGAGCCAGAGCCAGGGTCCCTGGGGCCCACCCTCAAGGATGGGCTGGCTGCCCCTGGGGGACAGGGGGGACGGGTCCAGAGAGAAGGTTGGAGCCGCTGGCGGAGCAGGGGCCACTGGTTGCCAGCAGAGGGTGGTGCTGCCTCACGTTGGACCCCGCTGAGGCCCTTTGCACCTCCGTGGGGGCCTTGGAAGCTGGATTTGATGTTCTTTCCCTCTCAGGTGACCAGGAGCCACTTGACCAGCCCCCAAGGCCGGAGAGGCAGCAGCAGCCGCCAGCTGGCGCACAGGACTGTCCTCGGGTAATGCTTCCTGTGGCTCCGAGAAAGGCTCGCCCAACCTAGAGGGTGGGATCCAGGTCCAGGCTAGACTGACCTGGGTGCCCCGCCCCCCGCCCACCCCGATCTGCTCGCCACAGAGGGAAGGTGCCGCCTTTCCACTGAGGAGCCTGTGGGGGTCTAGCCACTGGGCCTGGGGATGTAGTACCCGCGGGAGAGGGGGAGGTGGAGGAGAGAGGAAGCCAGAGGATACTAATGGTTTCTCTCTCTGTGTCTGCTGTCTGCCGGCCTAGTGTCTCATGCTACAGAGAGAAATAGACGATCTTAAAGAGCAGCTTGGTATGAGGAACCTCTGGCTGGGGCCGGGCTGGGGCAGAGGCAGGCCGTGGGGTGGGGTGGGGGTCCCCAGGTCAGGACCCGGGATGGGCAACAGGTGCAGGCGGCCTCCCAGGGACCACCGTTCCTGTGGGGAGGAGACCCTGGCAGGCCTGGCCCGGGAGCCTACAGTGCGTGCACAGCTAGGTGTGCGCACAGGCGGTTCAGTCGTGCCTCGCCTGCGTGGCCGCTCTGCTGGCGGGAACAGGTCACACAGGTCTCCCTCCTTTAGGACATTTGCAGATGCCGCCTTGATTTTCCCTTTAACGGTTCCTTGGTATGGCTTGCAAGGCTTGTGTGTGTGTGTGTGTGTCTGGCCAAGTCTGACTGAGTCGGATGTGCCCCAAAGCTGGAGAAGTACCGGCACATCCCGTTCCCTTAGAGGACGTGTCCATAGTGAATGGAGGTGGTGGGTGAGTGAGTCAGGCCCGCACTCCTGGGATAGGGGCTGGAGGGGGTTTCAGGTTGCAGGGCTAGGCGGTTCCCCATGGGGACAGGGGGACGGGCTCCTCTCTCCCCACGTCTGGAGGGTCTGCTTACGCCTGTCTCTGTTTCAGCGGCCATGCGGTCCCTGACTGACAAGTTCCAGAGCCTTTGAAGTGAGTGTTACACACTGCATTCCCCTTTGCACCGTGGCAGCCCGTGCAGCAGGGCGGGGGCTGGCCCTGGCTTGCTGCTCCTCCCTGAGCCTGCTCCGTCGGACAGGTTGAGCCCAGCATCTCTGCGCACGAGGAGCAGCTGGTGCCTTTGGAGCCAGGGAGCTGTGGCCAAGCCGGTTCCCTCCTGTTCGACCTCGGCCAAGACTTCCTCTGCCTGTTCTTTTGCCCCCTCCCCAGCCCCGTTCACAGCAGTTTCAAATTAAAGTACCTCTCAGGTCTGTGGTCTGCCCTCTCTGTGGGGTGAGGGGGCTGGGCCGGGCAGTGGGGAGCGGTGGAAGAGGGGAGGGGAGGGGCGGGGCAGGGAGCTGCTCCCTGTCCCAGCCTTTGCCAGAACAGGACCTCCTGGGTCCTGTGGTAGGCCTTCTCCTTGTGGGGAGAGTGGGTGGGCCTGTGCTGGGTGCCCCCTCTGGGGTCTGCGTGGGCTCTGTCTGGCCACCTGCGCGTTTGCTCCCTTTCCCCCGCAGGTCCCCTTCAGGTTCTTCCCTCATGTCCCCCTCTTTTTGAGTCTGGGGGGGGTGCTTCCCGTTCATCCCCTGCCCCCGACCCCTCCCCCTTCAGCAGGATCTCAGGACCCCTGCCAGAGCTGCAGCCCCCCTTCCCTTCCCTCCTTGGGATCGCTGTCCTGCTCCTCCCAGCCCCCCTGCTCTGCTGTCTGAGCGTCCTTGATCACTCCCGTGGCTTGTGGCTTTCCCTCGCTGGCCCTCCCTGCCCCTGTGCTTCAACAGGCATTAGAAAGCACAGCTGAGCTCCTCTTGGCCCTTCCTGGGCCCAGCGCCCTCTGTGGAGTCCTTCCCTCCCTCTGGTGCCACCGCGCAGGAGGACCACTGGCGCGGGAACTGGCGCACCCTCCCCTCTCCTCTTTAGCCCTGGGCCTTGAGGCTGGGTTTCCAACCCTGTCACTTCTCCCTCCTTGGGTTCAGTGGCGGGTTGGAGGCAGAAGTCACAGCCCGGTGGGGTTGTTGAGCAGGAACAGGGAACCCGTACAGGGAGGTAAGGGAACCGGGCAGAAAAGCACAGGTTCGTCTCTGGGCTGGAGGTGGGTGCGATGAGGCTTGTGGGGGCTCTGGGCCAACCAGGGGCAAAGGGCCCGCCAGCAGCCAGAAACGGATGGGCTAGCCACCGGAGCTCTCCCTTCCCTCCTGTCCAAATCACCTCACCCCCTCCTCCAGCCTGGTCGTCTCTGGTCCCTTGGTTGCAAAGTGGCCATCCCCTTCTATGGCAAGGGTGCGTGACGGGTCTCAATGTGCCCGCGTAGTCCTCTGCCAGTGCTGTTTGACCTCCACCATGACCCAGATTTTTCTGGAGGCGCTATTTCTGTGTCCCCGCTCAGGCTCCCCGACTGCTCCTTCAGGTCACAGGAGATTTAGTCCGGACTCCGTGTTCCATGTCGCCCTCGCTGATGGGCGGGGATGGCTTCCTTCCTTCAGCCGGGGCCCAGGGCTGTGCTGGCCTGAGACTCAGAGGGTCAGATCTGGGTCTGAGTGAGGTGAGGGTCACCTCTGCCAGACCAGACACCCTTCCCGAGAGACCGGGTGTTTCGGGCACAGAAAGCGGGCTGGGGGGTTCGATGGTCATGGTTGGTGTGTGTATTGGGGTGTGGGTGTGTGTGTGTGTGTGTGTGTGTGTGTGTGTGAGAGAGAGAGAGAGAGAGAGAGAGAGAATAAAATTAATCGGGGATAAGATAATCTCCGTGGAGGGAGAGCGAGGTGATTCAGGGTGTTAAGGGAGGGGAGACTGTGGTCAAGGGCCTGCAAGGGATTGAACGAGCGGAAGCAAGGGGCGGCTCTACCTTTCAGGGGGTGCCGTTAAATGCCTATAACTGGCGGGAAATGGCGTGGAAGTCCCCAGAGCCCCGGACGGGGTGCGGGGATGCTCAGTGTCACGGGCCCCCAGAGGAGGCTGTGGATCCGACTCTGTGATCCTCTGAGGTCTGAGCCCTCCCGGGTGTGTGGAAGGAAGGACAGTGGGAGGGAAGGCTACCTCGGAGTGGCCGGGGCGGGCCTCATCTTAGCAGCAGGGAGCTCGCTCCGGAGACTGCTCTGCCAGGAGCTAACGGGGACAAGGGCAGGATGGGCACAGTGAGGATGGGAAGTAGAGACTGGCTTCCCCGTGGGGAAGACTGGGCCGACTTGGTTTCCCCCTTGCGCCCTCTTCTCAGCCTGCCTTCCCTCGCAGGTCTGTGCCACCAACTCAGGTGGCCAGACCATCCGGCGCCGGTTGGGACAAGCACAGACCTCAGCCTGGGGAGGCACATCCGTGGGACTCGGTCCTGTCCTTCCAAACCCCTCACTTGAGAAGGTGGGCCTGGTTGCCAGGACTCCGGCCTTCACCCGGACCCTGTGGTTCTCTCTTGGCGGGGCAACACGGTGCGCTGTTGTCGCCTGCGGGAATGTGTTTGGGAGAGACCTTCTGGCTGGGGTGTCCGCGGGCCTTCGCGCGGTCAAGTTGTGAGTGGGGAGACGTCCAGCACCCACAGCGCCCCTGGGGGCACAGAGCCATGGTGGCCAGCGTCAGGAAGGGAAGAGTGGGACAATGGGAGGACCTGGTGGTTTTATATAAGCCTCATGGTAGCCACAAAGCAAAACAATACTGTGGGTTCACAAAGAATGAAGAGGAGGAAATCAAAGCATAACACTAAGGAAAATCATTAATTCACCAAGGAAAGGAACTAGAGAAAAGGCATTAAGGAA